TTCTATACAAAAATTAGCATCTGTCTCATTGGTATTTGAAATTCTTGATGTAGTCAAAATAATCATTCTAGCGACAAGAACCGTTATATAACAAACATTCCACTTTATCACCTTCCATTGATAGCTTTGATTTTTCAAATCTCTCTTAGAATACTCTCAGCAAAAATTCGCTCTGATTATAGTGACTTGTCTCTCAAAGGGCATGTGATCAATAGAGGGTCAATCGAAAAATCACATGCACAATTAGTATAGGAGTGAAGTTTAAGGAAACAAATTAATCATGTTTGGCATAATCTCATGGAAGAATATTGATGAAAATAAAGAAATACTATTTAACATTTCCCAACTTTTGGTTGACGATCTACATACGCATCAAACTTGAGATTAGTTAGGGCTTTTAATAGGTTGTAATGTGGCCAGAGGTCAGTGGCTAACGAAACGACGTTAATGGTATTCAAAAGCTATCATTTCATTATGTAGTGTAGCACACCTCTTTCTAGCTTTTTGACATTTTGCCTAGAAATGGTATTTCTTTTTTTTTTTTCCTCATTTTTCACTTTCTTGACAATTTCCTATCTTTCTGTTTCTTGTCTTTTTCCATTGTTTCCATCGGCGTTTCTTTCATCGAAGAGTAACCACTCTTGTGTTTTCCCTTTCTCTTGTTTTTTTGTATCATACTGATATATAAGAGGGTGTAAGAAAATTAGATAGCAAAGGTATGTCAAGTATATTTTCCTGTGACTCGGTCATCATATGGGTTAGATGAAAAAGAATTCCCACTTGTAAAGGCTCAATCACGGTTAACTACGAATATAATTTTGTAACAGAAATGACTAAGACTCAAATATAAGTCAAAGATAACCTAAAATCTTTTCTTAAGTATGTGCACATGTATATGTCATATGAACAGATTCTTGGGAGGGGGGATTTGTTAATAGATTGCTTTAATTGTGCCAATCAAAACAAGTTTAATGAGATTATTTAAGAATAGATAGTGAGAAAGAAAAAAAAACTTACTTGAGTAAATTTTGATATCCTCTCAAAAGCTTCGCAAGGCTCGAAATTTACTATGGTATTCTTCGTTATCGTCACTGGTTATGTCAGGTTTTTTTCATGGAATGTTAGTCATATATCAATTTCATTTTTGAGTTTGGTCATCTTGTACCTTTAGAATAACAAATACAAATATACATTTGACATTTTAAGCATAGAGAAAATACCATTTTTCCAAGACATGTGGTTTTAAGTCTAGGTTGCTAAGTGAGGTGTCAAACCAATCATGTGATTAATCACTTTAATCCATCAATCTCAATATTAACATATGTTCCTAATGGTTAACAATGTAACGCTAAATTTTAACAAATGCATTTAAAAAATATAAAAGTTATCAAACTGAAGGCTGATTCTATCATTCCATAAAATATCATCGTTCTAACACAAAAGAACAGGATTCAAACAATTCATAAAAGAAGTAACACACAATCACTCTCGGTAGGGATCTATTTCGAAAATAGTGATTTAGTAATTTCAAGTTAGTTGGGACCTGCAGTTACAGTTAGAAAAACATCTAGGTGTTGGTTATACCGCGTGATAGCCATCGAATCTTGAAAATTTTCAAACATATGTGTTGCACTATCAGTGAATAAAGATGGAAAAACCATTTGTTGACCAACTTGTTCAGGACATCCGCACAAACATTTGTAAGACCTTGGTAAAGTCTTGCACGAAGCTTCGATTGAGTCAACCAATTTTGTTCAATAGCGGCCCAAGTATCTACTACAAAATTTCTGAAATAGTTTTTCAGCTCTCAAATTGTTGAATACTTAGTGTCACATTGGAACATACGATAACTGTAATATTGCAATTGAGTCAGGAGAGTAGATGAAGGTTGACCTAGGGAAACATTCCACTATTTAAAATCTGAATTTCATCCTAACTCACCATGAGGAAACAATAACATGTAATGCAATGATAAATGAGTCAGGTGACACTCATTAATTTGCATCAACTCATTGTCTCTTGATGCAAATCATAGCACAACTTCAAGGGATCTAGTTCAAGTTTCAATTGGGCCGGTTATGGGAGCACGAGCAAGGAAGTTTAAAGTTGTACTCAACAGGCTAATTCAAGAGGCATGGACTCCAGCAAATTCGTGGAGCCCAATTGAGCATGATCCACTTAGGCAACAAAGAGTCATTAACATGATTGAAGTTCTAGAAGAATCTGGCTAAGGTTAAGTTTGAATTGGCATGTTTAAAATTACTTTTTTTTTGGGTCTGATTGTAAGGCTTGAATGCCAATTAATTTTTCTTTTAGGAAAGTAAGGCTTTCCTTGTCTATTTAGGCATGTGATCAACCTAGTAAAGGGCTGATTGTCTTTCTTTTTCTTCTTTTAGGCAAGTAAGAGTTCTAGTCTTTAGTTATTCCTTTTCGTTGTTGGATCTCGTCATGTTTGGCGGGTTTCACATCATCTCCTCTCAAATGTAACACAGTATCTTTGATTCCACTTGATTTAGTTTGATCTCTAGGTAATATTTCCGCAATCCCATCTATTGTTGAGAGATTATATCGACTCCGGTCTGTTATAGAACTATAGTGAAGATAGGTTGATAAATTTTGCCCTGTCAATTCCAGTCCACTTAAAATTGTGTGAGCCTGCCAAAATTTTGTCGGAAATGGATTTACTTGCAGTAAACAATCTTGAATAGTTTTCAAAACATCCCTTCTAAAGTTAGGATTTTTGTTGTAATGAACATCTAAAGCTGAATTAGGATCATAAATGTACTATTAGGAGTAAATTGGTTCACGTCGTGATTGTGGTATAAGCAATCTTGTTTGATGGCATAAGTCTCCATGGATGGTGATTGTTTTAGACCCCCCTTCCCAACAATTAATCTTTCATCCAAAGTAGTACCAGAACTCATAAACGCATTAGATGCATTATACTCTCATGTATGTTGACGAAACGGTTTTGATTGTTCATCATTATCCTCACACAATGCTTTAAGTGATAAAGCGGGTGCAATAAGTGGAGGAAGCATAATGTTTCCTTGAAAACAACATTTACCAAAGAGAGGATTTGATATAGATGAATGTGTTATTTTTTCAACAAGCCATTGTAAGGTAAAACAATGAGGATATGTTCGATTCATCAGCCGAGGAAATGACGATTTGAAATTTCATGGCGCCGAGGATCAAGGACAACACTCTTAGATGTACCTTCTTCTACTACGTATGCACCATAGATCAAATTTAGATGTCATACAATTGGTTTGTATAAATTAAATACAAACTTGAAAGAAAAACATGAATAAGACAACAAGAGTAACAGTAAGACATTAAAACTTATAACGAAAACTTGGTGCCTTCATTTGGATTAGACATTTGTTGGAGCATGTTTGTCACATATGACGCCCCTGAGGAACATGTGGGAACTTGCATTTTGTCAAACTCAATAGTATAAACACATCTAACTCACACGGTAGAAAGATTAGAGTACAAAATTTTCTCTCCTTTCACTCATTTTTGTCAGCAACCAAACGGGGGATAAAAACACATCAATTCTAAGAAATTACCTGTGTGCAAACAAACTCACCATAACCAATCTGGTAACCATATTTGAAGAAGAAAAACCATGATTAATTCCAAATAATTAAAAACTTTGAATTTGCAAAAAAACAAATAGTAATATAGAAGAAAACTAATCCAAAACTCACCAATAACCAACCTGATGACCAACTCAAAATTTGAATGTGAGTGATACTCCTAACTAACAACTTCAACGCTATAAATACGAATAAAATCTACAAAACAGAGAAGAAAACAAAAATAAAAAGTCAAAAATATAAAATTAACTATAAAAATAAATAGAACTTAGTGCTAAATAGGTATGATATATTAAAATGCTTACAACTTTGACAAAAAAAAAGGGTCCACAAAAATGGTTCCCAAACTATGAAAAAAGTAATAGGGAAGGTCAGTTAATCAGGTAACATTAAATCATAGGAAAGAATCTCAAATTGCACGATGATTACTACAACTCACAGAGTTCCAACTATGATAGATCCATGGTCATGGTCCTCTCTTTTGGTATGTTTCTATAATTTTAATTTAAGTATTCATGCTATTTACAGATAGTCAATAAGTTATATAAGCAAAGCATAAACTCCTATCCTCCAGATATTTATGCAATATATATATATATATATATATATATATATATATATATATTCACTCAAGATTCACATTGGTTCTCATAGTGCAAAGAAGGTAAACTTTTTAGCATTTGGATTAGAGTCACAAACATGGAAACACCAAAACTTTCACCCAAAAGCAAACTAACATGAGAACCATAAGAGACAGAAATGCGTATGTGGCCAGAACATGAGAACCATAAAACTTTCTCCAATCTGTTCCAATTTCTCAAAGCAATCCACGCTTGGAGACCCCAAAGCCACTATAACCATATATGTCTCTCTTTCTTTATTTATATATATATATATATATAATAAAATAGAACAAAATTTAAATCTAAAAGATAAAGAGAAGTTTAAATCGTTTGAAACAAAATATAAATACATTCAACAAACAATGTAATTTTAACATAAAAAACGGTTCATATCATCTCAAAAAATTTGATCTAACGATTTACGGTGAATACTGAATTTTTTTTCTCGCCCACCATCATTTCCTGAGTCACGTATCTCTCGCGCGTGTCTCTCTCTCACTTTTGCCTATCTCTCCCGATCTCTCACGCCTCATCCTGCCTTTCAAACTCATTCCCAAAATCTGTTGCTCCCATATTCATGCTTCATCACCATCACCTCCTCTTCTCTCGCAATCATGCATTCAATCACGCACCTCCCCTCTACTTCCAACTCTCTTTTCCCCAGATTCCCTTTCCAAATCAAGTCCTTCTCTCGCGCTTTCATTTCGAAACCCAGTTCAGGGTTGAGCCGAGAGAGGCATGTGAAGGTTTTGCAAGTGTAAATATTCCACAAATGGGCATTATCTGGGAGGGGATTAATTGGGTTTGCGGGGAGAGAGGTGGGGAGCTTTGCGGTGGTTCTGGAGAAGCAACGGCGGCGTGGGAGGGAGTGGCAGCCGCAGAGGATAAGGGATTCAGCAAGGCTTTCTATTTTTCTCCCAAATCTTCTTTCTCCCTCCCTGCTCTCTCTTCGCTCTCACTCTCTTCTTTTCGTGTGTCGCTGCCCAGCCACCGCCAACAAAAGCAAGCAGTGACAACCAGTTGCCGGAGTAGGTACACCAGCAAAGTATTCCATCTCTTTATTCTACCTCTCTCTTCCAATCCCCCACCACCTACCCATCTCTCTTACCTTCCCCCCTACAACTCTCACATAGAGAAATTCGACCAAACTCGACACACACACACACAAAAATGGACACTCACGCATACACACATATTCGACTTTCACACATCTTCAGTTGTTTTATTCTTTGTGATTTTTTTATGTTCATTTTTTTTCTTAGATTTGCGACAGGACATGAATCTACTTGGAAAGAAGATTCACTGGAAATTGCGATTCTTTGAATTTTTTGGTTTGATTCCATTTGTGGTTTCATACTGATTTTGTTTTTTCGATTTGTTCCTAGGCAATTCCATTTGTTATTTGATTGATCTCACCTTAAATTTGTTTCTTTTTGGTTATAGTGGCTGTCTCAATCACAATAGGACAACGATTGATTCAGCAATAGTAAGTATACCTCGGCTTACATAATATTACTATCAGATCTAATATTGATTGTGGATTTTCAGCATTAGGGATGTAGTGTTAAATGTGGAAATTTTTGAATGCACCATAACACAACCTCCTTCAACCACCATGCCACGTTCCCAGAGACAGCTTCAGTCACCCCCATCCCCACAACCTCACATGAAAGAGAAAGCATAGCGTGTTCAATGATTTCATGAATTTCAGCTTTGGAGATTTCTTTTGATTTTATTAGTTGTTTTTACAAACATTTATTTTGAGTAATGTTTAGATTCTCATAACTCCCTTGGCAAGATGGTTCCTAAATAGCCATAGAGTTTGTCCTTTAGCTTTTGCGCATTGCATTGGATAATCTATTGAAGAGGCATGAACAGATTTGCTTCAAATATGGATGTCCTACATGCAGACAATTTGTGAGCATCATTGACAATGGGCTACATGTATGAATTGTCTTATATGCTTATCTTCTTATGATACTTAGATTTTTTGTGCTTAAAAAATATTAAAAAGATAGCAATATATTTCAGTTCCTTCAATTACAAGTGGATGCCAATGCATTAACGCATTTAACTTTTGATATCAATTTTTCATGGTTTAATTTTTTTTTTGTAATTGAATGTTTTAAAATGATATACTGTATCTTGAGGAATGCCTTATTTTCTTATTGGCCCGTGCTTTCACCTTTCTTGCTTTGTTAATGTTTTTATTATTAGTTTCTTTTGACTCTTTGTTTAATTTCATTCGTGCTAGGTGGCAGTGATTTTGAAAGAGGTGTGTGGTTTTTGAGAAGTGTGGTAGGCATGGGCTTTTTTTTGTAATGATTTTGCGTTAACTAGCATACACTTTTACAGTTTATTTCTCTTTTTTATTTTTTTTTATTGGGATTGGCATTCCCATTCTTTTTTTTAGCATTTTCTTATCCTCTGGTTGGTTATGAATGTGTTTGTTTGGTGTATGGTTTGGGGGTTTGGTTGTTTGAATTGGGTAATTTGGTGGATTGTTGAGGCTGTTGGTAATGGTTTGCTTTGATTTATGCTTGGTGGTACATAAGGCTAGGTCATTATATTGAATTTGTCTTATGATTTGATTTGAAATTTCTTAGAAAATTTCGGCAAGCATTGAATGAAATAAGATTGATTTTGGNGATTTCATTTTTGATTTGAAATTTCTTAGAAAATTTCGGCAAGCATTGAATGAAATAAGATTGATTTTGGTATTTTTTTTATGGGGACGATCAAGTACCGATGCATTGTAATTAATATATGATGCTCGGCATGTGTGTAGTCTTAATATGAATTTTTCATGGTTGTATGTAGTTGGCATGTGTTATTTGCAAGCAATGAATTATTACAAGATACTTCATCACTTCCCTTCCCTAAGAAATTATTAATATTTTTTTTGTGATATTGATTATTTGATTGGATTTTTATAATTCAAATTTTTTCCTCCATTGAGGCAGTATTCACAGGTCATTAGACATGGATTCCTTTGGCCTAAGTTACTCTACCAGATTTGCATATATTCGGCTCCAACTCCAGGGATATGACTGCTTAGAATATGGCCATATTCCTAAAAATTATGATCTTTTTTATTTGAATTGTTTCACTTCGATTTTAGTGTAAATCTAGAATGAATAAGGTGTAAGGTTCGAAGTCCTCTTAGTTAGGATGTTAAATTATGAATTCTTAAATAAAACTTCCGACAATTGTTTTTAGTGTTGTATAAGAACTTCACGCAGAGTGGCTACTCAGATTTTGTAATTTTTTGGTATTATACAATGCCTGAAAGGCATGAACGGTTATTTGCAATTTTTTTGTTTAGGCACGAGCAATTACTAGTATATTTATATATATCTAAATTATGGAAATTCTTAGGCATGAATGTAAGTATATTGGCAAAGGAGAGTTCTACATTTATGTTATTGGTAATAGCAGCGATGGCTGGCAGCCGGGCACAACACACGAACTCAGAGAGAGAGAGAGAGAGAGACGTATGGGGTGGGACTATAGAGATGAGGTTGAGATAAAGTCTGAAGAGTCCTAATATGAAATGATTCTTATAATTTTTGGGTGGAAACAAAAAATTGGAGGAATTTAGATCATCGGATCAGTAATCGTTAAGCGATCTAATTCGTAAAAAATATAAGATAAATTTTTTTAATTATTTTATTATATAGATATTTTAGAGGAATTTGGAAGTCAGTCCCTAAGCCCAATAGAATGCCAAAAAATATTCACTCCTCAATTTTCTTTTAGATTAGGCCTCTATTAAAAAGTTAAAGTAATGAAAATGACTAAAGTCCTTTCCAATTATAAAAAATAACGATAATGTCATTACCTAATTTAAGCAACTATTCTAAAAAATTTTGTTATCGTAATGTAAATTTTTCTCCACAAAAAAAAATAATAAACAAGTATGTAAACAAGTAGGCAACAAAAAAAATAAAAAATAACAGGTACAAAACAAAAAAATAACACATACACAATAGAAAAATAACAGCTATGGAATAAAAAAAATTGGTACACAATAAAAAAATAACACATACAAAATAAAAAATATAACAGGTATGCAATAAAAAAATAAAAAATAACAGGTACACTATAAAAAATAACAGGTACACAATAAAAAAATAATAGGTACACAATAAAAATAAATAAAAAATAGTAGTTATGCAAAATATACACAAGTCGACAAATCCATTTTATAAGGAACCCACAAATCAAAAAGAAAGAGGAGCCTAGAGCAAAATCAGAAAAAAAAAAAAACTCAGAAAAACTACTCCTCAACCCATCATTTCTTTCCAAAATCAAACCAAACATAGAGGAAGGAAGACAGAAGATTTCCAATCAAATCGATCTTCCTCATCATCGTCGGAGGCATTGATGAATTTCCATGAAGATAAGTCACCGACATTAATTTCTATGGCTTCGAAGGCATTGAACAGATTTCCTATTCATTCTTGATCAAGAATAGATTTCCCGTGAAGATAAGTTCAATCATGAATGAATATTTTAAGTCCAAACATGAAGATAAAATTTATCATGTTCATAGAGGTACGTAGTTGCAAGAGCAAGAAATGGGGATCTGCGTGTTCTTGATCAAGAATGAATAGGAGAAAGGGATCGTGATGTTTTTCATTTTGGTTCATTGGCATCTCTCAATTTTAGGTTGAAATCATGTGACGAGAACAAAATAAATAATAAATATACAATAACTACCAACCTATACAATATTTTTAAAAAAACGAATGGTTTTTTTAATACTAAAAAATTAATAAGACTAAAATTAGTTTAGACACCAAATGAGGGACTCTAGCTTAATTAACTATATATTTTATTAAGTGAGATTATTTTCACCCCACAAATCTCCGTTCTCACCCCATTAAAATATAAATAATAAAACTATTAAATTCACTATTTTTATACATACCCAACTGATAACTAAACTCACCCCACTCTATTAATAACAAAATTTATCTTAATTTTCACCCTTCAGAATTTTTTTCTATACCCATCTCACATAGGGTATATACAAAATATATTCAATTGGATTCAACTTTGGTTTTCTTTCATGCAAATTGCTTCAATTGTTGTCGTCCAATCTCTATCCTCTCTAATTTCATCGTCGAAATAGTAATTTGATTCGTCTCTACGCTTCTCTTTCTTGCTTTCTTAATTGTCGATTGAAAGAATTCGCAAAGAAAAAGATTTTCTTCACGTGCAATTTTTCAATGTATAGAAAAAAATCTCTTGGAATTTTTGTTGTAGGTCGCATATGAAATCAAGTTTCTTGAAAAGGAAAAGAAAAAGATCATCTAGTCTCTCATCAAATCACACAGTCTATACATAATTATTTTTTTAGTTTTAATATATAATTCAGTTGAGTATATTTTGTATAGATTAGGTAAGATGGATATAGAAAGAAACCCTAAAAGTAAAGATTAAGATAAATTTAATTATTAATGAAGTGGGTATAAAATGAGGTGAATTTAGTTACTAATAGAATCTGTATAGATGAGGTGAATTTAATAAATTTATAATTTATAATTAAATAGTATAAAAACATAAATTTGTGGGTTGAAAATAACTCCACCCTATTTTATTTGGCTTTTACTTGGATAGTTGGCTAGTCCAACACGTCATGGACTCTTTTGTGAAGTCTTTTGACTCTGCCAAGTAAAATGATTACTTTGGCCCGTGTGCTAAGCTTCTCACCATTCGACGACACCGACATTGTTCGAGAATATTGGGTTTGCTTAAGTTAGTTTGGGTCTTCTTTGATACCATAAATTTTATTGGGAATAAGATTTTTGACACTATTAATTTTGTAGTAGTGATAGAATTAATACGTTCTCTTGTTGTTTGTTTATTCAAAACACTTTGTAATCTCCGACTTTTGATAATGAAATCTTATTACCGTGTTTCGTTCATAGACGTAAGTTTGTTTATCAAATCAAATTACGTAAATTTTTTATGTTCTATTTTTTTTTGTCGTTACATTATTATTTTACTTGTGATCTTAGTTCATAGCAATTAAAAAATGACCCGCTCAAATTTCTAAACTACTCTAATATTCAACCAAAGTAAGATTTTAAAATGACTTGTTCTCTTATCTCGCCTCACCAAATTGTACAGTAACTAGCCCATTTTACTGATTTCAATATCCGCCCCTACTCGTAACTGAACATATCATTAGGTCCATAAATGAATTGATTATGGAACAGGTTTCATGAACTCTTCATCTACCATATTAACAATTCAGCAACAAAATTTCCCATCCCTTAGCTTTTCTACTTGAATGCCAGAGTCTATTGAAATCCGTATTCAAGTAACGTTCCCACACTGTCCTCTATATAAATCAAACACCTTGTAACGTGCTACTCGACAGTTTCACACACAGGCATACTCAAACCATGGCCTACTCTTCCAAGCTTATTCTCACAGGCGCAGCCTTGCTAGCATGTTTCATGGCTTCCGTGGCAATGGCTCGACCATTGGGCACTGAATCAACCCTCCTGGCTCGGCTAAAATTAGACGGTGAAGAGAGCTCCTCGAATTGTTGGGAGTCTCTCTTTCAGCTCCAATCCTGCACAGGTGAGGTCCTATTGTTCTTCTTGAATGGAGAAACCTATCTAGGCACTGGCTGCTGTCATGCCATTCGAGTAATCCAACACGACTGCTGGCCCACCATGCTCGGTTCTGTTGGCTTCACCGCCGAGGAAGGCGACATCCTCCGTGGCTACTGTGATGCAGTCGACTCTGGCTCTGCCCCTACACCACCAACACCACCACATGCAGTGCTGCCCAATACCACTACCTTCCATGCAGCGGTTCCATCAAGTTAATTTCCATATAATAGACAGTACTGTCTTTGATTTCGAGTATCTATGTTAGGAGTTTTACCAGTCTATAAAGTATTTGTTATGTTCGAGAGTTTGTGGAGTCTGTTGGTTGGTGTGGTACTGTGGTGCCATAGCAGCCAAGTGTTCTAATTTCTGAGTATTCATAACTAAATGGAAAGTTTTCTACAATGAAATCAAAGAATTGGACGCTCATCTCATTCATATTGTACNCATGCAGCGGTTCCATCAAGTTAATTTCCATATAATAGACAGTACTGTCTTTGATTTCGAGTATCTATGCTAGGAGTTTTACCAGTCTATAAAGTATTTATTATGTTCGAGAGTTTGTGGAGTCTGTTGATTGGTGTGGTACTGTGGTGCCATAGCAGCCAAGTGTTCTAATTTCTGAGTATTCATAACTAAATGGAAAGTTTTCTACAATGAAATCAAAGAATTGGACGCTCATCTCATTCATATTGTACCTTTTTTTTTACTAAAATTAAACGTAAAATCTATGGTATGAAGTAGAAAGGTGATGAAAAGGATTTGCAACTGAATTTATATGACACACAAAAACAAATTAATTACCATACAAACCAGATAAAAAAAATCCTCTTCTACCCTCTTTCATATGTGAAAAACTATTTCCGCGACTCAAATTCATGTTGCAGAAGTTATCAACCTTATTATTGCTTCAACACCAACACCCCACGCTCATTATCATATAATTAGCATTACATAAGAAAGGTACATCGGGTCCAAAATGAAAACAAGAATAACTTTAATATTGCACTAACACCTCCNCGCGCCCATTATCATATAATTAGCATTACATAAGAAAGGTACATCGGGGTCCAAAATGAAAACAAGAATAACTTTAATATTGCATTAACACCTCCACCCTCATTATAATATGAATACTCAAACTTGAAGATTTTGGAACTACAAAATTTCATTGTTCAACTTGGATTATTTTTTTGAACAAAAAAAAAAAAAAAACTTCGATTATTTTGTTCTTTTTTTCCTCCCACACGGGCTTCCAAAATTAATCACCCCTTTTTAAAAGCTTTGATTTCCTACCAACGGGACTTCATGTAATTGGAATTATTGTCTTGTGCATACACTCCACACATGTAATAATGGAAAGTCCCCCCATGGCCTGTTGCTTCATACATGAGAATACAATCAATGTACACCTTCATCTTGCTGGCTTCAACATCGTGGATTACATTCACTCGGAACCACCTATACTATATGTTATGAATTAAAGGCAAAAGCAATATAATAACGCAACAAATAGAAAAAATAAAATACTAGAGATTTACGTGGTTTAGCTAAACAAGTAAGCCTGCGTCCACGAACGAAACACAACAACAATATTTCACTATTTAAGATTAGAGATTACAAAGTTCTCGAAATAAATCATTGAGAGAACTACATTTGTCCTATCACTAATACAAAATTAATTGTGTCAAAAATATTTTCCCAATAAATTGGTATTTCCAAAGAAGATCCAAAATCAAAATAGAGCAAAACTTCAATCAATCACCAAAACGTCATCCGTGTCATCCGTGTGATCAGCCTCAACAGCAAGACTGAAACTTTTCATCATATATATATATATATATTAAGAGAACTCCTATTAAGAGAACTCCTTTAAAGCTTAGGGTTTAAATCACAAAAGTACATGTTGCACTAAAAGTCCATCATTGGTTGACCAAATCAACTTATTCTTAATTAAATAATGAAACCAACTTATATTGGAACACAAACTCTATTGGGCCTTATAAGAGTTAGAATACAAGTCATTATAACAAATTTCTACATTGACTTGTATTTCGTCAAGTCATCCAACCAAAGTGAACTTGACCACTGCTTTCGCCAAATACCCCAAAGGTTACACCTCAAACAGTACAAACACCAATGAAGTCCAAGCAATGATTGAACTTGAGCACTGATACCAACTTAATAAACATATTTGTTGGGTTCTCTGCCATAGTAACCTTTTTTACTATAACAATACTTTGAACCATAACCTCACGAATGAAATGATACCTAACATCAATATGTTTCGTCCTTTCATAATACATTTGATTTTTAGTCAAATATTTTGCACTTTGACTATCACAAAACATATTAGTCACCTCCTCTTCCAATTCCAAATCACAAACCAAACCTTTTAATTAAATAGCTTCTTTTATTGCCTCTAATATTGCCATGTATTCTGCCTCTGTGGTAGACAAATAACTGTAGACTATAGGATTGCCCTTCAACTTACAGTGTACCTAAATAGAGTAAAAATATAACATTTCAGAGATCTCCTCTTATCTAGATCACCTACATAATCTGAATCGACATAACCAACAACAGTAGAATTGATATTATCTCTTCTACTAAATACTAAGCCAACATTTGTAGTGCCTCTCAAATAACGAAATATGCATTTCATAGCTTGCCAATGAACCTTACTGGGATTATCTATATAACGGCTAACCACACTAACTACCTGTGAAGTATCTAGACGAGTGTAGTAGGATACATGATGCTCCCAATAGCTTTCCTATTCCTGTGAATCTCCATACCCAAAATTTTCTTTGTAGCACCCAAATCTTTCGTCTCAAATTCTGAACTCAACTGTTTCTTCAACTTGTCAATCTCTAACATGCTCTTAGTAGTAATAAACATGTCATTCACATAAAGCAATAAATATATAAAAGAACCATCTGATAGCTACTTGTGATACACACAACTATTATAATTACTCCTAAATTAATCATAATCTACCATAAACGTGTCAAAACGTTTGTATCACTGTCTTGGAGACTGTTTCAAACCATATAATAATTTCTTCAACAAACAAATGTGATCTTATTTACCTTGAACAATAAATCCCTCTAGTTGATGTATGTAGATAGTTTTCTCAAGCTCACTATGTAGAAAAGTTATTTTTACATCAAATTGCTCAAGTATTAGATTGAGTGAAGTAACTATGACAAGCAGTACACGAATAGAGCTATGTTTCACAACTGGTGAAAAAACTTTATTGAAATCCAAACCTTCTCTTTGAGTATAGCCCCTTGCAACCAATCGTGCCTTCTACCTTGTAGATTTAAGGCTCCCTCACCCAACAAAAACAAAGATTAGTTAGAAGAAACAAAAACTCATAAAACAACTACTAACAAAAAGATTTAACTGCAGTAGTAGGTACAATAGATGCTTTAGAAATGTGACAAGAAGAACATGCCAATAACTTTAAGCTTAGTTTAAGATCAGATGCTTCAGCTTCACAGCATATAAATCATCGTCTAAAATTTTGTTACTTCCATTTGGAACCAACTCTAAGTAAGATTGTATTCAAATATTCAAAAGGTCAATGATATCTTGTTTAATATTTTCATTTTTACTTTCTAAGGAAAAGCATCGAGGGAATGAAGATTAAAAGGGTTTGTATCTCAAATAAAATAGTTATTTCAGCCACCATAATGGTTATTTTCAGACTTCATTCTAAAAGAAGTCAACACTACTATCAGACGTACTTCCAATGTTTGCTTTGTAAACTATTGGGATCCCATGTCAGAAAAATATGAACTTGGATGTGTTAGCACGTCTCCATTAGGAGACTTGAAGACCCACATACCACATTAATTTTTATGATAATATTATATTTTTAAATTATATAGATAATTTTGAGTTAAAATCTGGTAATTGAGATTAAATCAATCTACCCACTATAGCCTATAGGGTTGTAGTTATCAGGTTAGTTATGTTTATCAGATTAATTGCAAAGTCCTTGATGGAAGGAACTTGATAAGATCAAACTATCAAAGTGATAGGGATTAGGGTCTCTGGCTTGCCTATAATTAAAGACCTGTGAATGCCATCAAATATACAGTCTATTCTAAACGTAGGCCAAGTTGGAAACCCTTTTTCCATTCCTCCATAAAGTATTAGTGAGAGTGCTTAATTTTTCTTGTGAGTGTTTGATCAACAAGGCTTGTGATTCAAGATTTCAAGGTTCTAAGACTTGAATGACAAGATGGGAGGTAAGTATTCTATTCCGCTACGATATGTAATTCTCCTATCTAAGCCTAAAATTCGGTATCAGAGCCAATCCTTCTACTGTGCCATTTGGCCTAAAGATATGAATTTATTATTTACTGTCCTGATGAGTGCTATTGTTCTGGATTATGATGCATTTCGAAGTTTTGTGATCTCGGGTTTTGATTTGCATATAAGGAACTAAATAGAGTATCCATATTATATGACCAGAAATGTGTATGGTAAAAGTTAAGTATGTTAACTTGTGTACTTTTCTCTTGTATGAATAGTAGGTTTGATCCTTAGTAAGTAAGCACAATCTCAATGGATCGAACTAGAAATATATTTTAGGTGCACACACTCTAACTATAAGTTTTACTTTTTCCTCTAATAGGTAAAAATAATGTGATACATTTTTATTTTTTTACATTATAAGTATACAATATCTATGCAAACAAAAAAATAACTATAAAGAGGTTAATTATAACCTTTTACAAAAAAAAAATGAAGTTAATTATACCAAAGTTGAAGGTTGTGGCATATGACACTCCACAGATTACTAGCGCTTTGTTTTCTTTAGTGCTTTTGGGGAGAACTTGAGAATGGAGTGAGCTAGATTTGTTTTTATCCAATTTCTTTTTTAATTGATGATTCGAAGAAATTCTTTAACTCACTCTATTTTTATCCTAGTCTAGGAATGGTAGTGGATGAGGAAAAAAGGGTATTCATCTAAACCCGTCCCGTTTGGACCGAAAATAAATCATATATATTGGACAGTGGACGTATACAAAGATACCCGTATAAACCTGTGCTAGGATGGATTGAAACTCATCATTGGCCCACCTTCGCGCCACCTACACACCGCCCCATTAAACCCATAATATATAAATAAATATATATATATGTATATTTATATATTTATATTTATATAAACGGCCATTTGACGACCTGGATAGTTAATCATT